GTCTCTCTACATGAGGAATGTTGAAAAGAGCCCCCAAAACAGTCTGGGGACGATTTTTCTACCACTTTTGAGCACTTTAGCTTAGCGTTTCGCTTAGCTTTTCGCTTAGCGTTTAGCTTAGCTTTAGCTTAGCTTTAGCTTAGCGTTATCTTAGCTTGAGCTTAGCTGTAGCTTAGCTTTAGCTTAGCTTTAGCTTAGCTTGAGCTTAGCTGTAGCTTAGCTTTAGCTTATCGTTAGCTTAGCTGTAGCTTAGCTTTAGCTGAGCTTTGGCTTAGCTTTGGCTTAGCTTCAGCTTAGCTTCAGCTTAGCTTCAGCTTAGCTTTAGCTTAGCTTAATATTAACTTCAGCTTAGCTTTAGCTTAGCTTTAGCTTAGCTTTAGCTTAGCTTCAACTTAGCTTTAGCTGAGCTTGAGCTTAGCTTCAGCTCAGCTTCAGCTTAGCTTTAGCTTAGCTTTAGCTTAGCTTCAGTTTAGCTTTAGCTTAGCTTCAGCTTAGCTTCAGCTTAGCTTTAGCTTAGCTTTAGCTTAGCTGTAGCTTAGCTGTAGCTTAGCTTTAGCTTAGCTTTACTGTTACTACTAATGCTGCTTTCCTAGGGGCTCCAACTCCTAGGTAGGGTCGCACTGGGATGATTTAATTCTTCGTTCAAAATCCGCATGTAGGGGGACATGCCCGACCTAAGGGTAGGGGTGGGGTTCGCATGTTCAGGCGATCGCAAACATGGATCAAGGGGGCGCGGATCAGCGACAGGTTCCGTTGCCATTGGAAATCGCGGAGTTCCGCCGCCGAGCGAGGCGGCACCGGCTGCATTTTGGGGAGGGCACCTCCCCCGATCCATGGTTTTGGAGACCGCGCTCCTACAGGCGGCCCGGATTAGTAGGTCGACCCTGCCAGATCAAGGGTGCCCTTGTGTCCTGTGTCTCGCGACCCATGCTTCCCACATTCCTGCGGCAATGTGGTCCTCGGAAGGGTCTTGTGTCCTCTCGCGTGTCCTGTCCATTGGACAGGACTCGCGAGAGGACACAATGGAGTCCCGACTGTAATCCATGGATCGCCAACCCATTGGAGTTGGAGTCGGACTCCATTGGACCAATGGAGTCGGACTCCATTGGAGTCCTGACACAATGGAGTCGGACTCCATTGGACCCACGGAGTCCGACTGTAATCCCGGATCGCCAACCCATGCCTGCGCGCCCGCGACACGCGGCCCCCGACACCGGGCCGCTGCGCGGGGGCCTCGCGCTCGCCGAGGCCGCCGGGCCCCCGGGGCTTGAGAGAGCCGGCGGGGTCCTCGACCCCCGCGAGCCTGCGGCGCCACGGCGCGAGGACGGCCGCATGCCGTGCCCCGCCCGCCGCAGGGGGCGCCCCGCGCGGGGGCGCGAGGAGGGCCGTGCTCCGCGCGCCGCAGATCGACGAGCGCGCTCCTCTACTCGCAAAGAGCAGCTGCTCGCAAATAAGCCGTGGATCCCTCGCGGGGATCCACGGCACATCAGAGCAGACACGTGCTTTTCGGACGTCTGCGAGCAGGCACCCTGCGAGCAGCGGAGCGTGCTCGGCGAGCGGAGGGAGCGGCGCGAGGGCGGCGCCCTGCGCGGCGCAGAGCGCGGTGGCAGGGGTCTCCCGCCCCGCCTCCCTCCCCTGGGCAGGAGACCCTTAAGGAGGAGGAGGAGGAGGAGGAGGAGGAGGAGGAGGAGGAGGGAGGAGGAGCAGGAGGAGGAGGAGGAGGAGGAGGAGGAGGAGAGGAGGAGGAGAGGAGGAGGAGGAGGAGGAGGAGGAGGAGGAGAGGAGGAGAGGAGGAGTAGGAGGGGGAGGAGGAGGTGGAGCGAGCCATGACATGAGAGCATCCGAACTCGGAGGTCCGCGCGGATCTCTCGGATCCGCGCCGAGTCCCCCCACCCCTGGCGGCGCCTCCGGCGCCGCACCTGGTGCGCTCCGCGCGCCAGGCAGGGGGGTCCAGCGCGGATCGGAGGAAGCCGCGCGGACCTCCGAGTTTTTGTGTGTGTCATTGTTCGTTCTCCTATTCCTGCCGTGGGCCCCCCCTGGCGGGCGGCCCTGGCCCGGGGTGGTCCATTCTTTTCCGTGGAGGCACGGGCGGTTCCCAGAGCTCGCCTCGCGAGGCCCGGAGGACCTCAGGGGTTCAAACGGGCGCGAAAAGTTTTGGGCACCTCGGGCCAGGATCACCTACCTCCGACCCTGCCTCAGGGTGCGGCGAGATCGTAGACCTGGACGACCAGGGCCCAGTCGCCGTGGTCCACGGGACGGTGACGGGTGCAGGTTGCGAGCGAGCTCGGGGTGAGCAACGCCAGATGATTCAAAATTCAATGAGAGGGGGTCGTTTCGGGATGGCTGCTCTGTTTCCACCTCCTCTCACGGACCAGCCCCAACTGTGGGAGCTGTGGTCCTTGTCCAGCCCGGGGGGAGAACCCATTGAGAACCCATTGGCATGGTCGGTCCTTTTCCTCCGCCTCCTCCCTCCGTCCTGGTGACCGGCGGTGAGAGGCTGCCTGACCGCATTGGGGCACCTTGCATTATCGCAGACGCCTGCGGCGAACCACCGCCGCACCCTGCCACCTTTTGGAAACGCAAGACATGTGTTGCCGATAAGTCGACGGACAATTCGTTCTATTGTGGTTGAACTGTGATTCCTCGACGTGTTGTCGAGACTACTTGGGGAACACATTGGCTCCAGAGCGAAATGCCATCTTTGGGATCTGTTGAGACCCTTTGGTGGGGGGGGGCCCCCTTCGGCGTTCTCGGGGGCCGTCTGGGGCCCTCTTGGGCCGTCTTGAGGCGCTCCTTGGCCGTCTTGAGGCTCCCTTGGGCCAACAGGGGTTCCTCAAGGCCTTCTCGGGGCGCACTTGGGCCGTTCTGAGACTTTCTGGGGCCGTCTTGAGGCTTCCTCCTTCCCCCCGCTTCCCGCTCCCTTCCCCCCTCCATCTCCATCCTCGTCCTCGGGGGAGGGTAGTGGGTAGTGTTTCTCGGAAGCGACACCAGATGTGTCTGCAGCAGACGCCAAGCTGTAGTGCACCTTGTATGAGCCAGCTCCCACCCCCGTCCTGCTCCTCCGCTTGCTCTTGCTACGGCTGCTCCTCCTTCTCAACGTTCCTCCCAATCATCGCCGTCGTCGTCGTCGTCGTCGTCGTCGTCGTCGTTCTTATTTTGTTATCCTTCTCCTTCTCCTCGTCCATGTCGTTGTCGTGATCGTCGTCGTCTTCGTCCGCCTCCTTCTCCCTGTCCATCCCTCGTCGTCGTCGTCATCATTATCGTTCAGGTCTTCCTCCTGATCACCCGCCTCCGGCTGCAACGGCTGCTGCTCCTCACCACATTCTCCTCTCATGTAATCGGTCCTTCCTCCTCCTCTCTGCTGCTGCTCCTCTCCCCTCCTCTCCCTCGATGTTACCCCTCCTCCTCCTCCTCCTCTCCCCCGATGCTGCTGCTGCTGCTGCTGCCTCCTCTCCCTCCTCTCCCCTGATGTTATCGTCGTCCGCCTCCTCGTCGCCCTTCGCCTGCAGTCGGACCGAGGTAAAAAAGACTGAGGTCGGTTCGGGGCGGGTGCCCTACTTGCTCTTCGTGTCCGCTGGATGGTCTCGTGCTTCCCCGGGAGGGTACCCTGGATGTTCCGTGTGTTTTGGCCGGCGGAGGCTCTCATGTTCTTGAATCGGGGGAGCGTAAGACCCGGGTTTGCCAGGACTCGGGTTCGCCATCGTTTTTTGACGACCGCGACTCGGATTTTGACGAGTAGGAGTTTCGTGGGATGTCTGCAGCGGGAGGCCTCGTCAAAATGCAGGCTCGGCCTTGTCATTTTTTTGACGACCTCGTCGGGGATTTCCGAGTCCCCTGTACCCGGGTCTTACGCCCCCCTGATTGAAGTATGTTCTTCTGGCCGAGGCCCGACTGTATCAATGGTCGTGTGCCACATTGCAGTTCCCACCATGGTTGCTGGGAGGACGCTGATCCTCCTGAGCGTGCATGGGCTCGTGGGAGGGGAGGTCTCAGCAGCACTGACTACAGGCGCAAACGTGAGTCCGCGGCTCAAGTGACCGCTGCCCCTTCCAACAAATGTGCTTGATGTGCTCCGCATCTTGTGTGTATGTTTAAGCGCGAACTTCACGCACAGTTGCGTATTCATGTCCAACACTGGCACATTGATTCGGATATTGTTAGATGCGTGGGCCCTGGGAGAGTGGTTATGCTTGTTGACTAGCGGTGGTTGCGACCCGTTGCTGCCTGCAAGGCTTACACACGTCGGGGGAAGAACAGGAGTAGCACGAGGAGCAAGAGGAGGAGGAGGAGGAGGAGGAGGAGGAGGAGGAGCAGCAGGAGCAGCAGGAGGAGCACCAGGAGCAAGAAGAGGAGGAGGAGGATGAGCAGTGTCCTCCTCCCTTCCCCTCGACCCTTCCTCTCTTGCGTTGATCAGGGAAGTGCGGGGGCCCGCAGTGGAGCAACGAGGGGGGGCAGCCGCCAAACCGAAGACTGGGATAAGCCTGAGCAGGACCGGGAGTCAAACATAAATGTCAGGAGAGGAAAAAACACACAGACACAACCAATCCTCGATTCCTCAGAAAATATGGGAAAATATGGGAAGTGGGGGGGAAGACAGAAACCCAGAAATTATGGGAATATATGGAAAGTGTGTATTTATTTGTGTGTTTGTGGGCCCCTTCAAAATGCTTTCGCGGCTCTTTCGATGTGGGAGCCTGTTGGCAGCTCACTCGAGCCATTCGGGAGACCTTGGGCGCTCCTCTCTTGGGGCCCTCGGGGCCTCTTGGGGCCAATCTTGGAGGCAATCGAGTCCAAAAGGGGGGGTCTTACGGTCACCCCGCCGTACAATTGCCACTTGGGGTCCTCGTGGGGCACTCTTGGGCGCTCTTGGGGCCGCCTTGGTCCCCTCCTGGGGGCTCCCTTGGACCAGCTTCGCCGTTGCGCTCTTGCAGCTGGCGTCGCTGCAGGAGGTCTCGACGCAGCTTGCGGGGTCGGACCTGGTGAGGGCTTCGCGGCCGCGGATGCCGATCGTCCTGCCTCCGCTACAGGAGCGGGCGGCTCTGATCATGCTACCGCCGTGCTTGACGGCAGCGCCGCAGCAAACAGTACGCTGGCACGGCGGTATTGTGACGCCCGCAGGCGCTGGGCTGGGCGGCGGCGCCAGCGAAGACGGGTGGACTGTCCGCTGTGGCCCGCCGGCGTCGTGCCGCCATGCTCGGCCAGGGCCATCCTGGGCCCTCGGATCGTGCAGAGGCCCTCCCGGCCTCGGCCAGCAGCGCGTGCACACCCTGCCAGGGCCCGCCTGCCGCCCTCCCTGGGCCGCCTTGGATCAGACGTCGCTCGTTCGCCCGCCTGCCTCGTCCCGCCGGCCCTGGCCTCCCGCCTGCGCACTCGTCGTCGCTTGCTCGCTCTTCGTTTCCCGCTTCCCTCGCCGTGTGGTGCCCTGCTGGTCGCCGCAGGTACCTTCGAAACGGGGAGTTCGTCGAGTACCGCCGGGTCTTCGTGGAGCACTCCGTGGCGGCGCGCGCGGTTCTGGTGCGCGGTTTGAAGGCGTCCCCCGCTGGCGCCGAGCCTTGGCCTTCCCGCCGCCGCTGCTGCATCCGTCGTCGTCGCCGTCGTCGTCGTCGTCGTCGTCGTCGTTTTATTTGTCGTCGTCGTTTTCGTCGTCGTCGCCGTCGCCGTCGCCATCGCCGTCGTCGTATGTGGTCTGGAACGTGTAGCCTTCTGTAAAGCTGTGAGGATTTTTGGGGTTGAAAAAACGAGAATTGTGGAAAGTTTGAGAGTTCAAACATGAACATGATACATTTGCAGATGTTGTGAACATGATACATTTGCACAGAGAAAGCAAAACGACAGACTGTGTATGAATACAGCTTCTCGTCTTTGTCCTTGTAGCTCTTGAGCCATACGTCTTCGTCGTCGTCGTCGCCGTTTTTGTCGCCATGGTCGTCGTCGACGAAGTTGTTTGTTGTCGTCTTTGTCGCCGTCGTCAACGATGTCGAAGGAGGGCGGCGGCTGCGCTGCTGGCTTACTGCCTCACATGTTGCTTGCCAGCTCCCCCCCCGCCAGCTTCCTTGTGCAACATCCCGGCGCGGCGTCGTGGTGGTCGAATAATTAATTCCGACGAGGATGAGGGAGGAGGGAGGGAGGAGGGAGGAGTGAGGAGGAGGGCGAAGGGAGGAGGGAGGAGGCATGGAGGGAGGAGGGAGGAGGAGGAGGAGGGAGGAGGGAGGAGGGAGGAGGCAGGAGGAGGGATGAAGGAGGAGGGAGCAGGGAGGAGGAAGGAGGGAGGAGGGAGGATGGAACAAGCTCTGACGAGGAGGAGGGAGGAGGGAGGAGGGAGGAGGGAGGCGGGGTGGCAGGAAGGCGGCGCCAGGAGCCCCGACGGAGCTTCGGTACAGCCGCGGTGCGTCGTGCGAGGACGGCCGCAAGCCGAGCCCTCGACCTCTTCAGCAGTTCCAGGCTGCGTGGGCCCTCGGAGAACAGAATATCCTCGAGCCCTCCTCCTCCTCCTCCTCCTCCTCCTCCTCCTCCCTCCTCCTCCTCCTCCTCCTCTCCTCCTCCTCCTCCTCCTCCTCCCCTCCCCCCCCCTCCTCCTCCTCCTCCTCTCCGTCCTCCGAGCGCGCGCTTCTCCAGAGCCGGACCGGTCCGTGACCATCCCGGATGGCGTCTCGGCGCAGTGCCAGAGAGGCTCGTCGCGATTCTCGTTGGCGACGCCCGTGCCCGGGTCCAGGAGGGGGAAGAGGAGGAGGAGGAGGAGGAGGAGGAGGAGGAGGAGGAGGAGGAGGAGGAGGAGGCAGGGCCCCCAGGGGGGGGGGCCGAAGCGGTGTAGAAACGCCAGTGTCGATGGGGCGTTTCGGGAGCCCGCGGGGCCCTGGGGAGCCCGAGGGGGGCCGAGGGATTGGTAGTCGCTTGGCTGCTCATGCGCAGGAGCGGCGTCCCTTTCTGTCGATGTGGTTCCATTTGCCACGGGGGGATTATGTCAAACCTCATCGATCTGACGACTGGTGATTTATTTCGCGTGCGCTCCTGACACTACCCATTCGACTCTACAGCCTCCATCCACGCTCTGTCGCGAGGATTCAAACCAGGTTCGCAGCCTTGCTTGTCGGCTGCGCATCCCATGATTAGACTTGAAGGCACCAGTCTATCCTCTCGTCTCCTCTCTTCTCATCCTATCCCGCTGCTGTTGCTCATTCGCGGGGGGGGGACGCGTGCCTGAGACCAGGATTTATACATGTCCACCGCCTGGGCAACCTGTGTCCCAGGACCCCAGGAGACTGGATGTGGATGTCGCTGGCCCCTCGACCACGGCCCAGCAATGTCCATGTCCGCTGCCTCCCAGGGCGTCCAGGCATCGATCTCCCCGGACATGTATAGGTTTCCGCCTCGGACCGGAGGGTTCCAAAGGGTATTTTTGGGGATGGGGTTTTCCAGGAGGGGTCCCCCAGGGGCCTCGCACCCCCTCTTTTGACGAGGTTCGTGAAGCCCGTTCCGAGGCCCCTTGGGGGGGCTCTCTGGAAAACCCTCTCCCCAACAAACCCCCCTGTGGAGCCCTCCGGTCGGAGCGTGGTGCTTACAGTGCCGTTTTTTAGACATGCTCCGCGTGTGGATCATGTATTAAATATGCAGGGCTTTCGCATTAAAAACAACAATGAGTTCATGCATACATGCATTCATAAATTATCCCAGTGCGACCCTACCTAGGAGTTGGAACCCCTAGGAAAGCAGCATAAGTAGTAACAATAGCGCTAAGCTAAAGCTAAGCTAAATCTAATCTAAAGCTAAGCTAAAGCTAAGCCACAGCTAAGCTAAAGTTAAGCTAAAGCTAAGCTAAAGCTAAGCTAAAGCTAAGCTAAAGCTAAGCTAAAGCTGAGCAACAGCTAAGCTACAGCTAAGCTACAGCTAAGCTAAAGCTAAGCTAAGCTAAGCTAAAGCTAAGCTAAAGCTAAGCTAAAGCTAAGCTAAAGCTAAGCTACATCTAAGCTCAAGCTAAGCTAACGCTAAGCTAAAGCTAACCTGAAGCTAAGCTAAACGCTAAGCGAAAAGCTAAGCGAAACGCTAAGCTAAAGCTAAGCTACAGCTAAGCTAAAGCTAAGCTAAAGCTAAGCTAAAGCTAAAGCTGAAGCTAAAGCTAAAGCTCCCAGGGGACTGGGGGGAACCGCTCCCAGGGGACTGGGGGAACCGCCCGGGGCGCTTTCCACTGCCCGGGCCTTTTAAGCTAAGAGAGTGAGAACCCTTCTAGGCAGAGCCTAGGTAGGGAATTAATCCTGTATTAAAAAATCACATATTTAAAAAACCAATCCTATGTATTAAAAACTGCCCTGTACAGAATCTCGCGCCGGCAGGGTTGGCCGCTCATGTGCGAGGTGGTCGAGGCCGACGACGGGTCGCGGTCGCTGCCTCCCTCGAGGCCGGGGCGGGCGACGGCGTAGGCCCGGGTCGCGCCGCCTCCGGGTGCCCTCCCGCGGCATGGTCTTTCGTCCTCCCTCCCCCGCCGCTTCCCAAGGGTTCTCCTGCCACTCCCCTCCTATTTCCTCCTTAGGGGGCCACATGCGTACCGTACCCCCACCTCCCACGATTTCTGAGGGGAGGGTGGGGTTCACTTCGCTCGGGAGCTCCCTAACGAAGTGAACCCCACCCTCCCCCTCAGAAATCGTGGGGGGTAGGGGTAGGGTTCGCATGTGGTCCCCTCCTCCTCCTCCTCCTCCTCCTCCTCGTCCCCTTCGTGGCCTTCTTGTCAGCGTACATAACTCAGGAGGGAGAAAGCGCACAGGCACAATTCATCGTCGGTTCCCAGGAATATATGGGAACATCTGGGGAGTGGGGGGAAGGCAGAAACCTAGAACATATGTGAAACTATGGGGAATCCTGGGATTTGTGTGTATTTATTTGTGTGTGGGCCCCTTCAATAACGACGCAAGTTCGCATGCCCCAGTCGCTGAATGCATGTTCTTAGCTTCTCTCGAGCTAGTTACAGAAAGCCCGGCTTCTTAGAGCGCGATCTCATCATCGCCTTCCTCCCCTTGTCTCCTCCTGCTCTACATTTTAGTGCCGAGGGCCCCTGTGTGCCCTCTAAGCTGTGTGTTTTTATTGTATCTGACGCGGGTTCGACTCGGATGTGGCGTGGATTCGACGTTTGACGCAGACAGTGGCGCGATGAGACAGAGAAGGTCCGGCGAAAATGACACGCAACCTCGACCCTCCTTTCCTCTTCATCCTCTTCAATGTCCTTCTCTCTTTCCTCTCCTTCTCCCTACTCCACCTCTTCCTCCTTGCCCTCTTCACCTCGTCGCCGTGCACGCCTGAGCTTCCTCCATGGCCGCCCTTCCGCACCCTCCCTCCACGCATCCATCCCCCCTCCGGCGCAGCCGCCCATCGCGCCTCTTCCGGCAGCGCGGCGACCGCGCGTGGTGATAGCCACGCGCTCTTGCGTCGGTGGCCCCCCCTCGCGGACGCGCGCCCGCGCCAGGGGGCGGGCTTCCCTTTTTCTTCTGTTTTCGGCGGCGCGGGATGGCGTGATAGGGGCGGTTTGCCAAGAAGGCGGGGGGCATGTGTCTTCAAATACGGGCCCAGCGGTTCTTGATGGGGCGTCGGGGCTTTTCGGGAGCTGGAAGGGCTTCTCAGAAGCCCCTCGCCTTCTACACAGCCCCTCCGATTTCTTGGAAACCGCCTCCCCTCGCATAATCTCCTTCGCCTCGCCGCCAATTCCAGTTCCCTCGGCGCGCAAAACCCAGGCCTGCGGCGACTCGGAAACATCGCGCCGTATTCTCGTAGACCTGTTCTCGGCGTCGGGGGCCTTCTTCTGGGTCCCAGCACCGTCCACACAACGACTCAAGAGCGTGTTTCTTTTTTGCTTGGGGCATAATGGAAATTATAGCCCCGGGCCCCCTTCCCCCCCCCATGACGTAACGCTCCTTCCCCCGAGGGCGCTCCGGGCACTGCCGCCGTGCGCACGGCGGGGGGAGGCGTTACATTATACCCCCCTGCCCCCCCCCCCTCCCTCATTATGCCCGTTATCGCCGAAAAGAAAGAAACGCGCTCCAGTGAGGAGCACCTGTCTTGTGGAGGGGCCGGGAGCTCCAGGGGTCGGCGACTGCAACACGTGTCCAGAGGCTGGAGCTCTGGGCAGAGGGCGGGGCGGTGCCTCCCCCCTTCCCGGGCCCCCGCCGCCTCGGGTGGGCCCGCTGCGCAATCTTCGTCGGAAGGCGTCTCAGAGATCTGCGGTGAAATCGGGCATGCCCCTCTACAGGAGTAATATTCAGAAACAGTAAAAAGGTAGTACAGGGATTTTTATATGTAAAAATATAGGTGTATATATCTGGATATTATTTTGAGTTTGTTTGGAGTATGTTTTGAGTATTTTTTATGTTTCGTCCAAACTCCGCCTGTAGGAGGACGTGCCCCTTGACCTAAATCTGGGGGTTGCTGGGGACGGTTTCGTGGTTGGCTGGCGCGGGGGGAAGGGAACTGCAATGAGAGGCAGAGGGCTTCGAGAGTGCCAGTCCCTCAGAGAGACGAGCCACAACTGGGGGAGCAATGTTCCTTACCCGATTGGGTGCACCGGCTTCGACGCAGCTCTCTAGAGATTGTCGATGCGACGCGTTCCCCAAACGTAGGGAACATATATCTCCCAGAGTTGTGGCTGATTGGTCAGCAGCCGTGCGCCCCACACCTCTTATGCGGAAAAACAAACGGCGTGAACATACACTTTCGGAAGTCCCTGCGGATCTCTTGGGTCGGCGCTGGACCCCGTTCCCCTGGCGCACGGAACGCGCCAGGGAGAGCGCGCGCCGTCAGGGGGGGGGGGCTCATGGCCAACTCAAGACATTCGCTCGCACTGCCTGCATTTCACATCCATATCCCAAGATACATTGCACCTCCCCGCCGCCGACCACGACGGGGGTGACGCAGACTTGCCGAGAGGGCGCCGCGACTGGGGGTGGGAATGTGCGGGAACGGCCCACGCTCGAGCGCCAGTCTCGAAGGCGACCGAAATCTCCCCCCCTACCCCCCAGCTCCCGCACCCTGCGTGCCAGGGATGCCGGCGCGTGCCGCCGTCTGGGTCTCGGGCGTTACCTGGGGCCGTCATCGGCTCGTGCGTCCCTCCCCCTTGCGGGGCGAGAGGTCGCACGGGGCTGGGACGAGGACAATGTCCGTTCCAGAGCGTTCTGGGACGCTCTCGGAGCGTTTTGAAGCGCTCCGAGAAGCTCGCGGCGCCCGAGACATCCTCCGCGGCCGCCGGATCTCAGAGATTCTGGATGTGTCCTCACCCGATGTGACCCTCGTCCTGGCTTCGTCTTACGAGACCCCATCCCCTCCCTTCGCCCTTCCCTGGAGCCCTCGACTCCATCCGTGGAGTCAGTTGTTCATCCCAGATCGCCTTTTCGTTGCCCGGTGTCCTGGAAGCGGCCTCCAGACGCCGAGAGTCCGCCTCGCGTTTCGGCGGTTGCTACAGGTGCCCCTGGCGCAAGGTGCCCCCAGCTTTTCGCTCAATTTTGAAGCCCCCGGTGCCCTCTGGGCCTCGTGAGGGCTGCTTGGAGGCCGTGGGGGCCTCCTTGGAAATCCTGGGGGCACATTGGGCCAGGGGCACTTCTAGCAACATCTGAGGTCTTTTCCTGTCAGGATGCCTGGGAGGTCGGGGTTTCTGCGCGCCGCGGGCGTCTCAGCCTGCACCGCGGGGTACGTGCCGCGCGGTGCGTGCCGCGCGGTGGGGCATTAGAGTGCACGACAAGTCGCGGCCGCGCCGTCGGAGCGGGAGTGCTGCGGCTCAAAGGCGAGCCCCCGCGCGCGCGCCGGGCCTCTCGGGTACCCCGCGGGCCGCTCGGGTGGGATGCCGTGGGAGAAGGGAAGGAAGGGGGGGCGGGCAAACTCTGTGCGCTCGCGCCGTGTCTGACGTTGTCTGCCTCCCATCCCCTCCCACTGCGCTGATTTCTTTTTATCTCTCCGCCGGACTCGTGTCATGGCCGACCTGGAACTCCCCAAAAGAACCCCTCGTGTTGTGTGAACATCGGACAAAAGGGGAACTGCGTACATAGGAGGTGGGGAGGAGGTTGCGGGTAAACAGGAGGATAGAGGACAGGGACAGGGGGAAGAGCAGGGGAGAGAGGGAACTCACGTCAAGAAGCCCTCATTCGGTCCCACGCCTCTGCTTCAACCAGATCCGTGTGACACTCCTTGCAGCAAGAATCCCATGTACACATGGAAGGGAATGCACCACAGTTCGGAGTACTGAGGATGGGTACCCAAGAAGATGCACTTCCAGAATGACCTCCAACACTATGACTGCGACCATTTCATCACCGACACCCAACTGCATAGCCCTCGCAAGCCGGCTCTTCGCCAAGCCCGTGATCATCGACAAAGGGTATGGCAAGGTCCCCGGCCAATGCAGCAACGTTGAACGGGCACGAGTGTCACGGTGATAAATCCAATCACGATTTGGATTCCTTCATGGTGTATACGAGCCCCCCAACCACAAACATACAACTCGAGATCGGTCCACTCGAAACGGTCGCCTTGGCCGCCGTGCGAAGAATAGACTGGGCTCAAGCGCTCGGTAAAACATACACCGCACTCACATCTATACCCCTGGGTGGGTGTATGTGCGGCCGTTTTTGCGCTGTCATGTGCGCGCATGTGCGCGGCATGTGCCAGTCACTGATGCCCGCACTTGGAGCAGTATGAACAGGATACACCAATGAGGCCATCGACGTACCTCCACCAGTCAATGTTCCTCCGTCGTGAGCCCGCTGGCATGTGAAAGCCGTTGGCCCGTAAGCGTTCCTGCACACCCCGATCCAAGTCCGCAGCGAAGCGAAATTCTTCTGCACTTACATGGATTGCAACTGCGGCGGCAGATATGACTCCACCGATCGCCAACCCCTTCATCTGAAAAACCTTTGAGCCCAAACAGGGAAGGGTTCACAGACACGTAGCCGCCAATGCCCTCGCAATCTGCTCAAAGTTTATTTCAGGCCATCCCTGCCTGAAGCCGCCGGCAGGAAGACTGTGACCAGGGGTCCGCCCACGTTGGACCGAAACCAATGTTGAATAAAAGCGTTGCTCGGCAGCCCGGGCAAGGAGGGCCCAATCCTAGGGGAACAAAAAGTGGCATAAACATAAAAACTCGGAGGTCCGCGCGGATTTCTCGGATCGGCGCTGGACCCCCCTCCCTGGCGCGCGGAGCGCGCCAAGGGCGGCGCCGGAGGCGCCGCCGGGGGGCCCCAGCGCCGATCCGAGAAGTCCGCGCGGACCTCCGAGTTTTTATCTTTATGCCAGTTTTTGTTCACATCCAGCAGAACTGCAGAGGACTCGCACGCCTCGAAGGCCTGATCAATGTCAGATACGGCGACGCCGAGCCGCCCACACAGCGAACATCCACAGTGAGCACAGGTAGCACGCGGAGGCGCCGAGATGTCGCTCAGCAGCGTGC